AGTAACTTAAAATCAAGTAGAAAAATTGAAGTATTTCATTTTTCCTATTGATGCAGGCATGTCTTACGAAATCAAATGAATTCATTATATGAACAAACTTGTTGGAAAGCCTTTGTTGGTTTTTCGTAATTGTAGGTATATGTCTTCAAATCTACCATCTTGCAATGTGGCATTCCAAGCATTTAGGTACTTACCAAACAAACATTGCGATGTGAGACGGCTTAAAATTCCAAAACGCTACAAACTCAAAAGCTCAAACACAATATTTGTAGAGCGCCATACTGTCTGCAGTTTAAACACGATATAAAAGTGTTCCACCTTTAGTGGTAACCTAACCGGATTGACACAATTCGTGGCATCAATAGCCTCTCTAGCACAATAGCAGCCACCGGCTGACTCTGGTTTCCCGCTCGCACGCCGCACTCAGGGGCCTCTGAGAGGCGCCATCTCTATTTACTGGGGACGGGCAATTAGCGCGGAGACGGAAGTGATTTGCAGTAAATAGCGGCTCGTAAATCGGTCTGCCAGTCGCGCCGCCGCGGCGGGCGGCGGACACATTTCATCCATCATGCATGCTGCATAATCGTATGGCAGATTCGGACCGGGCCGGGCGTCACCGGGCCGGTTTACACGGTAAGCTCCATGTGCCGGAGAATGGCCGGGATCAGGCGGCACCGGCCATCAGCGTACCCGTGATGGGCCGGACGGCCGCTAAATGTGTATCGTATCCCGGAGCACAGAGTTAATGAAGTGTCAGACATTATAGACACTCTGCCGATCCATGCCGATATCATTCAATAAGAGGCTGGTGGGGTTTATGCATGGCTCTGTCCTGACGACGAGTATGGGGACTGTTACATAAATGCTGACTGAATTCCAGTTAAATACCGGGCCGAAGTCGGCAGTGTGCATGCATTCCACCGGGGAGATGTTTTGCATCACTCAGCGTTGAAATGATGAAACGCTATACAGCTATTTCAAGTGGGCAGTACTTCAGGAGCTAGTAATGGTTGTGGTGTACTCATGAAAATATTAAAGAACATTTAGCATTCTTCTATTGATACCGAAAAGTCCAACTGTCTTTGATCTGGTAACACATATTATAGGTTAAATAAAAATCCGTCTTGAGACCAGAAGAATCACAGCTTTGAATACAGCAGTATATCACTCAGCACATTTCTGCTAGAATATGATGTGATATATTATCCATCATCGCACGTTTGACGCCATATTTCTTAAAAAAAAAAGTTCAAGTCAAAAGATATTACTTCACACACTTCACCCTATATTGAAGAATGAGGTCCTCAGGATGTTAGTACAAATATAATATTATTTGAGTTAAAAAAGTTGATCAAATTCAAGTATATTTTTGCCGCAAACGTTTTCTATAACATGAAAATATCACAGCAGGCGCAGAATGTGGTTGCTTGCTTGATATGCTCATCATCAGACTAAGACATGCTGGATTGCAAACTGAACAGCTACGCCGTAAAGGTATTCCAAAGAGGGAATATTACCATCGGCGCAAGGCGGATATAAATCATAATCGCTCTGAAAACATGCACATGACCAGGATCTGCATCAAGTATAGGTGGCCAAGCTTTGTCGGCGCCATTGTCCTCCCACGCATCGTCTTTTCTATGTTTCGGTGTAACCATCCCTCCTTCCCGACCTATTGGCTTTCTATCGCCTCGCGTCGCTTCTCGGCGATGGCCTACCTGTTTTATCTGGCTCAAATCTTACTTTCTCACCGCTATTCAATCACACGTGACCCGTCGTATCACCACCGAATATATAAGTCTACTTCGTTACGATGACTCATAACACCTTCCCAGCCAGCAATTCGTCCGGGATGCGGTTGGGGACGGTCGGGATAGGCTCCGGATGTCCAGACTTGTCCCTACCGGGTTGGGTAGGCTTGGGTTGTCCCAATCGATACCGGACCTCAGAGGCCGGCGGTAGGGCGACTCAGGATTTCCGGACCGCAAGCTTAATCGGTTGGGACGCGATACGGATAGCCCAATCGAATCCCATGTTTAGGCAGGCTTGTGATTTACGTTGTTATCCCAACCGATCTGAGAAGGCGCTTCGGGCACCATATCCGGTGGCCCAGAAAGCCTGGAAAAGCAATCAGATGGGCTGCGTGCAGGCAGACGCGTCCTCTGAGCGCAGCGGCCAGTCTCGCTGCCGCGTTGGTCAAGTGTCGATCCCTCCTTTGAGCTGCTGCCTCAGGATATTGCTTTTGAACTGGCTCTAGCAAGCGGTCGGTTCAACTGTTGTCGTTGCAGGGAAATCAATCCGTCTTTGAGAACAGGGTGAGTATATGTAGTGCACACTTCATCCGTGATGTAGGGAGCGGGAAAGCTATAGGTAATAAAAATTGTTATGTTCGTTGTGGTTGTACGGCATGTGAATTACACTCGTGCTGTCGCATGTTTGATCAGTTATCATGGACAGAAGATGTTTGGTCTCATTGTCAAGTGTCGTTACCTAATGGTTGCATTGAAGGTTTGAAACCTGAATTACCAGGCATACCATGTAAAATGTCAGATGTGGGTTATTTTTTAGTGATTTTTAGTGTGTCCCAGGCTTTGATTAATTACCTCTTGCACTGAAAACTTTTTTACCATTTCCTGAAGGGTAAACCCGCCATAGCATGGTAGCTTGACACACAGACGTTTTTTACCACCTTCCAGATGGTAAATTTTACTCTTTCATGAAGAGTAAACTCGCCAGGGAGGGGTAACATGACACACAGACGTTTTTTACCATCTTCTGAATGGTAAACTCTTTTGATTTACTCTTGTCTAGAGTGTAACATTTTTTGGGTTACACTCTTTGAAAGGGTAAATCTTAAACGGGACCCTTTTCTAGGGAGTAACGCATCATCTACTCTGTGCTTTACCCTCCTACAGAGAGTATTATCTTCTGGCCTACCCTTTGTCACATGGTAATGTTTACTCTTTCCTTAAGTGTAAACCCCCCAGAGGATGGTAACAGACTCACAGACGCTTGCTTCAGAAGCTTTGCACGAAGCTTCTGTTAACCGGAGCTCACCAACTAAAAAAACATGCTTCAAGAGCAACAATGTATATTTGGCTTCCGTACAAACAATACGAGGGGCACACCAGCCATGAACATTGTGAGACTCTTCACTTATGCATACGAATTTATACGAAGCGTTCAGCAATGCACAAGCGGTAAATAAACACTATGATACAACTTGAATGCACTTTGAATGTGAATACAAGACATTCAGCGCCCTCATATTGGATAAGGCACAGCGCACAATATTTGAAGAGAGCGACGGCGTTCCTGGGTGGTCGCCCGTCTGCGTGAGATAATGAGACTGGATCACTACAGTGCAAGGCTTTTTCGAAGTCACCAACAAAATGCATAAGCTTGTAGCATCACAACAAAATTAATGTACGTACTCACAACCTAGGCCACGTGGCCGTGCACGGGGTCCTGTTAACCAGGTCAAATTAGCACCACTCAACGGCATGCAATGCTCTAGCACATCGGTACTTACAATAAAATGTCCATGCAGAGGCTCTATAGGCGATGAACAACACGCAAGCACAATCACCAACGGCCACGCCGCGCGGCACCGACACTGCTCACATCCGCTCTCGGAGACCAACGGCCGAAAACTGACAGATGCGCGCGGCCTTCAAACCGCAAACGGCCGATCTCGTTTCTGATTGGCTGAGTGATTCCATTTCAAATATCATCTTCACGAGGGTAAACAAGATCCACGCATGAAACGACTATCTGTACACGAGTCACGATACCCAGAAGGAAAGAGTTTTCGTGATGTTCTGGATCGCGAGAGTAATATTGATATTTACATGGTAATAATACTCTTCGCTGGCGAATAAGTTCATATTAACCACGTACCGTTACTATGCACATAATGGTAGCAAAGAGTTACCCTTTCAATATACTCTTATCTTGCTGGTTTGATGAAAATGAACCCTCCAGGAGGTAGTAAAAAAGTTTTGAGTGTGGTCATTTTCAGATGCTCTCTTCGCACAGTGGTGAACCGCCCGACCAGATACCAGCCGTCTAGTTTCGCGGTGGCTCTCTGAAGCCCGTGACGGCAGACGGACACACTGTCCGCAGAGGAGCCGACACGAACAAGGCGCAGGCCTGCTATAATGACTGTGAACACCGGAAGTGAGTCCGCTGTGCCAGCGCCTTGCAAGTTGCAGCGGCGCTAAGATGATGGCCGACGCCACGAATGTGCTGGCCATGCTGTGAATTTGTAAAAATTTGACCTGTGTGCAACCAGTAAATTTGTGAATATATTTCAGTGTCCAATGTAATTCATTTTGTCGTGCAGGCATTAGGTATAAAGGTTGAATTGGAGAATAATGAAGAGGCGAGGGGGTTGCGGTGGCGCAAGCAAAGTGGTCGCATCTGCATAACAGCAATCTGCGGTTATGAGACTGCGGTTAATATGTTAGATTCCTGCGGTATTCCCGAACCGGCCGTGCGGGCCGAGTTGGGACATCCCGATCGGGATCGGAGTTCATCGCTTGTTAAAATGCCATAAGGCGGTCCGGATGCGTGCGGGATTTCCGAACCGATTGTGCGGGGAGATTTGGGGAATCCCGATCGGGATCGGAGTTCAGCGCTTGTTAAAACGTCATAAGGCGGTCCGGATACGTGCGGGATCTCCCAACCGGTCGTGCGGGGTAGGTTGGGATATCCGGACCGTTCCAGCCCGTACAAAGTGTCTCATTTCCCAATCCCGTCCCACTCCGGTCCCGATCGGGGTGGTGCGGGCTGAGTCCGAAAATCCCGATCGGGAACGGAGTGGGATTGCTGGCTGGGTTATCACCTCATCACTCGACGATCCCTCGCAAGCTGTCCTCGTCCTCCAGTCGAGGACGTCCTCACCTCAGCTCTTCCCGTCCTCCACCCACCTCCTTCTTCGTCCCACCTCCCATCCGTCACCTCAGTCGGTCCCTCTCCGCCACCGGGCGCGTCCTCACCTGGTCTCGACTCCCTGCTGGTCCATGCCCGCCGTCAGTCCGTCTCTCCCTCTCTCTCTCTCTCTGTCAGCACTCGCCACTCGCGCGGTGCACCGCTCTGCTCGAGGCACCGGTCGCCGTCCGGCGGCCTCCTCACTCCGCGCGCCGCGCCGCCACACTCGCCCCGGGCCGCCGTCGGAGTACCGGCCGACGCCGCCGACGGTCGACGCTGCCGACGCGACGGCCACCGACGCCACGTCGATACGCACGGCGACGGCCAGTGCCGGACGGAGGCGCAGGGACGGGACGCGCGCCGACAGGGCGCGGGATTGTGATATCGGTAAAGAAGCTCTAATTGGCATTATACTTGCTGTGCATTGCATTTTCTATTTTTCAGCATATATTTTGCAACTATTTTGTATTAGTTGAGATATGCTTACAGTTCACGTTTGTACTTTTTTGCGCAGTATCAGAAGCTTTACGTAAGGTTCCCTGTAAGTGTTCTTTCACATTACAACAAAACTAGTTTTAATGCCATTGTTTCTTACCTAAAGGTAAATAGGGTAAATGTTACATTATTGAACACATCAATATCGAGTGCCAAACGAGTCCAGGAGGATAAAAAGCAGCAAATACGTGCCACCTGTATACTCAAGCCCTTGACACCGGACGGTTTTCAACAGTAAGATTTACTTAACACCTATAGTGTAAGCACTTGCCGCTTGTGTCCATGCCTGTCCATGAAGAAAGACAGAACACAGACGCTCATATTTAAGATCACCACAAATATAAACACGCTGCGTATGCATGAGTGCCTTCTTGTGCATGCAATATGCAGGCCCGCATCCCTAGTTCTTGATATTGAAAGCATGTGGCGTCATTCATATGCCAGGATGATATATGTGCGTCGGTTATGTAATAAAGCTTGGGAATGACCATGAATGCTAAGAAGATCAGAACGATTGAGGAAAATATGACTCTGGCGAATCGTTAACATGCTCTGCTTATTGGAAACGAATGCTTACACGTCAAGGTCAACGTCTACCAGCTTTTTAGTACTTTTTATCTGTCACATGCCATACACATGCACAATTGATGCTTGCATGCAAGTTGCAATATCAAAGCGTCTGGCAGACTGGAATAGACGAGCTGCAGATGACGGGTGGAAGGTGACGGACTGGAGACGGCATGAGGCGAAAGACGGCATACGGTAGACGGCATACGGTAGATGGCAGATGGCAGACGGCAGACGGCAGACGGCATACGGTAGATGGCAGACGGCAGACGGTATATACGGTAGACGGTAGGCGGCTGACGACAGACGGTAGATGGTAAACGGCAGACGGTAGACGGCAGACGGTATATACGGTAAACAGTAGGCGGCAGACGACAGACGGCAGATGGCTGACATTGGACGACGGCGTGCAGTGCCCGATGGCCGGCGGCAGTAGTATACGCTCGACGGCAGTACGCTCGACGGCAGTACGCTCGACGGCAGTACGCTCGACGGCAGTACGCTCGACGGCAGTACGCTCGACGGCAGTACGCTCGACGGCAGTAGTATACGCTCGACGGCAGTACGCTCGACGGCAGTACGCTCGACGGCAGTACGCTCGACGGCAGTAGTATACGCTCGGCGGCAGTAGTATACGCTCGACGGCAGTAGTACACGCTCGACGGCAGTAGTGTGCGCTCGGCGGCAATAGTATACGCTCGGCGGCAGTAGTGTGCGCTCGGCGGCAGTAGTATATACGCTCGACGGCAGAAGTATACGCTCGGCGGCAGTAGCGAGCGCTCGGCGGCAGTAGTATACGCTCGGCGGCAATAGTATACGCTCGGCGGCAGTAGTGTTCGCTCGGCGGCAGTAGTATACGCTCGGCGGCAGTAGTATACGCTCGGCGGCGACGGCCAGCGGATGGGTGAGGCCCGGACGTTATGCGCCCAGCGCTGCGTTACATCCGATGCGATGTTCACGGCTGGCTGGAGGCCGTTCGGCCCTGGCCGTGTCCGACGCAGCGTCAGATGTGGGGCCGATCCCCGTCCCCGCCTGCCTAATGCGTCATCCCTCTTCCGAGATAGCTCTGCCGCCGCAGCCGGGCGCCACCCTCCCTCCAACTCTGCACCTCCGTGGCCGCGCTTCACCAGCTCCGCCGCCCCTCCTCCATCACACCCTAATGCCGCGCCCCCAACTATCGCGCACAAACACGCGCACTGCATATTTGGGGGAGAGGTCTGTTCCTATAGGCATGGATGTATTTTGTGGATACGTATGTCGAATACAAAACCGAAGGCTTTCCGTTTTTATGCTTTGAAACCATGCGAAGATATTTGAGTGCCCACATCTTCGTTTCTAGTGATTGCAATTCGTTCTCAGCACCATCTTTATTCGAAAACTTCTAGTATTGGCTGGTGGTTGTTGGCTGTTCTAAAGGAATACGAAGCCAAGAGCAGGGCGTTTTTGTCTTGACTGCCTTATCGAATATTTAGTGAGATCTCCTTGGCTCCGTTTCGAGTGCACTTCTGTGATGCTCTCAATGTCGAGCAGAGTTGGTGTCTCCGGGATGCTGCCCTTATTTATTCATCGGTCAGAGTCCCGCGACACACGAGGCGTCCTTCGGAACGTGCCTAGTGAAGTGCGGCTGAGCTGTGCTCGATCTCTGCGGCACGCTCACCTACACTCAAAACTTTTTTACTACCTCCTGCAGGGTTTATTTTCATCAAACCCGCAAGATAAGAGTATATTGAGAGGGTAACTCGCTGCTACCATTATGTGCATAGTCACGGGCGTAGGAACGTCATGAAAAGTGGGTGGGCCACCCTGTCAAGGGGCCTCCTTTTCCAGGGGGCCTCCTATTTTCAGGGGCCTCCAACTTTTGCCTCGTCCTGCTGGCTGCTTTCAAGTAGGTATGACCTCCAAATCTAGCTTCTGAGATCGGGCAGATGTACCCAGGGGCGTAACCGCTTAAGCGAACAGTGCGGAAAGTCCGCACCATTTTTAAAACTTATTCCCCCTCCGATTTTTTTTAGAATCTATTTGCCGCAAACGTCGCATGACCCCTGAAAGGCTGAAAACCCTTACACAAATGTCTTCCTCGTTTCCCAGGTGCCCCCATTAGCTTCATAGGCGCCCTCTTTGGCATATAAGCGCCCTATGTATAGGTAGTCATCAGAGACATCCCTATATGTCCCACAGTCACCCCGTTGTCGCATACAATGTGCGCTCATCATAGGCGTCTCTCTTTTATGGACACTTGAAGGCGCCTCTCTTTGCCATGCCGGCGCCCCTGTTTCTTATGAATGCACCCCCATGGCATTGGTCAATTGCAATTTGCAGACCTCTATTGCATGTGGACGCCCATATACATGCATACCTATGTAGGCCTCAAAGGCGCCCCTCTTTCGCATTGAGGCGCCCCTATGGGCTTCATAGGCGCCCCTCTGTTGCACGTAGGTGCCGTACGTCTCAGAACCGCTCCCCTTTGGCATGCAGACGCCCATCTTTCGTACGGAGGAGCCGCTGTGGCTCTTAGAGACGGCATGGTGCTCCCAGACGCAGATGGGGCTCTCGGAGTCGACAGTGTGGGACCTTCAGTCGCTGATGGGTGCCCGCCAGATGTGGGCCCTCGGAGACGCCGGTATGGGGCCCTAAGAGATGCCGGTATCAGGTATGTGGCCCTTAGAGACACCGGTGTGGAACCCTCAGATACTTCAGTGTGAAGCCCTTACAATTGCTGGTGTGAAGCTATGAATGCGCTGGCTTAAATCCCTCAGAGGTCGGTACATGGACATTAGAGCTCAGTGAGAGCTTGTGTGGTGCCTTCAGTGACCTTGTGGAGCCGTTAGACATCAACATGGTGCTCTCAGGAGCCGGTGAGTCCTCAGAGTCACCGGTGTGGGGCCTTCAGAGCTCCGAGATACTGGTGTGGGGCCCTCAGAGGTGTCGGTGTGGGTCCTTCAGATGTACAGCCCACCGCTAAAGTAATGTGTGGTTTTACCAATCTCAACGGGTGGCTTTGACCGACGATTTTTAAATGCGGACTGATTGAAAAGAAGATGTCAATAGATAAAGTTGTAGCTACAAGGGTGATGATACATATAAGCTATATTCAAAATTTCATTGTAGTCTGGCTAATCGTTCCTAAGCTTCAGAAGCAGAACATACCCATGACTGTAACCACACATTACTTCTGCTGTGGACTGTACCTATAGAGCCTTGAGATGCACAGGTGTGGTGGCCCACAGAGGCGCCGGTGTGGGGCCCCCAGAGCCACCGATATAGGGCCCTAAGAGACACTAGTATGACCCTCAAAGGCGCCGCTGTGTGGCGCTCATAAACACTGGTGTGGAGCCATCACAGGCGGGCGGAGCCGTTAGAGGCCGGAAAGGGCCCTTAGATGCCTACAAGGAGCCTTCAGAAGCCGGCGTGGCACCCTTATGGGGATAAGCGTGTCTACTTAGGAGCCCTTGAGGTGCTCTCATGAGCTCTGTGGGGCCCTACCGTCTACCGAGCCGAAATATGGCCACGGCCAGTGGCCGCCGCATGGCTCTTCGGACTATCATTCTCAGGGGCCTCATCTGCCTAGTTTGAATAGAAGGGCCTCTCGGACCATCAGTCTCATGGGCCTCCTCTGGCTAGTATAAATAGAAGGGCCTGTTAGACCATCAATCCTAGGGGCCTCCTCTGGTTAGTGTAAATAGAAGAGCCTCTCAGACCATTACCTAATCTCAGGGGGCTCCTGTGGACAGTATAAATAAAAGGGCCTCTCAGACCATCAGTCTCGGGGGCCTCCCTAGAAAAGTGTAAATGTGGATAGAGGGCCCCCTCAGATTCATTAGGAATGGACCTCTCTGACTATCAGTCTCAGGGGCCTCTTGTGGCCAGTATGAATATAAGAGCCTCTCAGACCATCGGTCTCAGGGGCCTCTTCTGACTAGTGTGGATAGAGGGCCCTCCCAGGCCACCGGTTTCAGGGGCCTCCAGTGGCCAGTTATATGAACAGAAGGGCCTCACAGCCATCAGCCTCGGGGGCTTCTTCTGACTGGTGTGAATATGAGGGCCTCTCATGCCATCAGTCTCCGGGGCCTCCTCTGTCTAGTGTGAATATAAGGGCTTCCCAGGCCATCAGTCTCAGGGGACTCTTCTGACTGGTGCCGGATTGAGGGACCTCCAGACCGAAAGTTTTGGGGGTCTCCTGTGGCCAGTATGAATAGAGGGGCCTCTCAGTCCATCAGTCTCATGGGCCTCTTCTACCTGGTGTGATTATAAGGGCCTCTCAGGT